CTCCAATCTGATTGACTGTTTAACCAACATTAAACAATGGTTGAACAATAACTGCTTACAGCTAAACCCGGCCAAAACAGAAACTCTGATTATTGCACCAGGCAGTGCAATACCTGATATTAAACTTAGGTTCCTCACAGAAACATAACCTTAGAAACTTGGGTGTCATTTTTGATGAAGCTTTTTCTTTGGAGGGGCATTTAAATCAGACAGTAAGAACCTGCTTTTTTCACCTGAGGAACATTTCTAAACTTAGATCCATCGTGTCAACAAGTGAACTCGAGATGATAATACATGCTTTTATCTCTACAAGACTTGACTACTGTAACAGCCTGTTTACTTGTTTAAACATGAAAGGGCTAGCCTGCCTACAGGTTGTTCAAAACTCTGCAGCGAGGCTACTGACCCGCTCGAACAAGGGTGCTCATATGACCCCTGTTTTAAAGTCGCTGCACTGGCTACCAATCAGATTCAGGTTCGATTTTAAAATTCTAGTTTTAACTTTTAGAGCATTACAGAGACAGGCACCCCCCTACATTGCTGATCTGATTCATACACATACCTCCACTCGTAACCTGAGGTCAGCAAACCAAACCCTTTTAGTGGTCCTCCACACTCGTTTTAAAACCCGAGGGGACCGATCTTTCCAAGCTGTTGCACCCAGATTGCGGAATGCACTTCCCCTATTTCTACGGGGTTTGGACTCAGTGGAAACCTTCAAAAAGCAGCTAAAGACATTTTTATTTCAAAAAGCTTTTAATTAGACCAGGGTTTTCATGGTGTATTTTATGACTGTATTATGTTTTTACCTTGTAAAGCACTTTGTGACATATGTCTGTGAAGGGTGCTATATAACTAAACTTTACTTACTTACTTACTTAGTCACCTGAGATGGTTTCACCTCACAGGTGTGCCTGTCAGGGTTCATTTGTGGAATTTCTTGCCTTCTTTATGGAGTTGGGACCATTAGTTTTGTTGTGCAGCAGTCAGGTTGGTACACAGCTGACAGCTCTATTTGACAACTGTTAGAATTCATATTATGGCAAGAACCAATCAGCTGAGAAAAGAGAAATGACAATCCATCATTACTTTAAGAACTGAAGCTCAGTCAGTCTGGAAAATTACATAATTCCTTTATGGGCAAATAGCTGCTAAGAAACTACATGGCATCCTGTTAAGACACCATTTTAACCACCACCAAGAAAAAGAAACAAGCAGAAGGGATTTGTTTGGGCCAAGAAACAGAAGGAGTGGACATCAGACCAGTGGAAATCTGTGCTTTGGTCTAATGAATCCACATTTGAGATCTTTGGTTCCACCTGCCGTGTCTTTGTGTGACACAGAAAAGGGAAACGATGGTTCCTACTGTGAAACATGGAGGAGCAGGTGTGATGGTGTGGGGGAGCTTTGCTGGTGACACTGTTGGGGATTTATTTAAAATTGAAGGCATATTGAACCAGCATGGCTACCACAGCATCCTACTGCGACATGCATCCCATCATTTATTTTTCAACAGGACAATGACCCCAAACACACCTCCAGGCTGTGTGAGGGCTGTTTGACCAAAGAGTGATGGAGTGCTGTCCAGACCTTTGACTGGTGTGTGTGTATGCTCATATGAATCTGTCAGTTACAACTTAAAGTGAAAAGAAACTTGATTTCCCTTTTGTACGCTCTCCACAGGTTGCTTCTTGTTCTGCTGGACTCCATTCTTTGTGGTCCATACGATGCGAGCCGTGTGTCTGACATGCAGCATCCATCCTGGTCTAATGAGCACTGTCACCTGGTTGGGCTACGTCAACAGTGCTCTCAACCCCATAATTTACACCATGTTCAACACAGAGTTCAAGAAATTCTTCAAGAAATGCTTCCGCAGCTGCTGCTGACAACAGATTTCCCACCACAGACTCTGCAGTGAGCTGAAGGCGGAATGACGAGACTGGGAATGGGTTTTGGAAGGATTTACAGGATTTACAGCATATGACTTCTGCTGGAAAGTCAGAGGTTTTCAGTTTAACCACTTACTTATGGTTGATAGTGGCTTGCTGACAACTTATTAAGATTGTTTCTAAGTTGCAAATACTGATCTTATAAATTCCATATCTGGGTCTGTTTTCTCCGTTGATGACGTGATTTTGTGATCCCCACGAATTACGGCCTAGAAAAAACTAACAGTGCATTTGTGGAAAGCTACAGAAAACAGATGAACACAGCCTCCCTTATTGAAAACAGAGATTTCACTTTGTCTACATGGCACTTTTTTTGGAATATACTGTCCATCAGCCTTGGCTGGCTGGGGTTACTGTGAGCCAGTTCCACAGAAGGACATGAGCATCTCAAAACATCTCCAACTATACGGAAAGACTGAGTAAGCTTCAACAGAGCAGAATGACAAGCAGCTAAAAGCAGCTTCAAGAGCAAAAACTTGTCTAAAATCAGCCACTCATGCCTACTGTTATGAATAAGCATAAAGCAACAGTTTGGCATGATGTGTTTCTTGCAGACAGATAAAGAAGATAAACACCGGTCTCATGTTTGTGTGGTAAATATGAAGCTACAGCCAGCAGCTGCCTAGCTTAACTTAGCTCAGAGTAGCTTAGCTTAGCTCAGTATAGCTTAGCTTAGGCTAAAGGCTGGAAGGAATAGAAACATTAAAAACATTGTACAGCTCTGAATTATTGTCATCTCGGCCACATAGTAGCAATTTTCAGTCATTAGAAGCAGAATTAGTAATCAGTGCTCGCTTATGAGTTACCCACTGAATAAAGACTTTTATAGTATTAGATGTGATTAGCGGCACAGCAAGATGCACTATGTAGGGTTACAAGTCCTACTTTGACTCTGCTCAGAAGACTGTATTGCCTCCTTTACATTACCAGTCTAGAATCTAGTGTGCGACCTTTTCCAGCCTTTATGCTGATCATAGCTGAGCTAAACAACCTCTGGCTATAGTGTGAGTGTGTTTGACTGAGTGGAAGGATATAATGATGTTGTGTTTATTCTATCTACAGGTAAGAAACCATTCAAGTGTTTCCATACATAACAGACTGAATAAATTTTTTGATATAATGAAAAGTTCACATCAGTTCAATTTAGACTGCTTCTAGATCAGGCATGGCTAATCTGTAAAACTGTGCATCAGATCTTGTCGTATGAATTGTCAGGTACAGTTAAGCATTGTAACTGCCTAACTGATTTTAGCTGAAAATGGAAAAATGTTTTTCCTTCAGAGAAAGAGGATTTTGGAACGAGACCCAAAGTGTGAAAGATAACAATATTTAATGATGAACTGCTGACATCTAATGAGCTGGTGTGAACCTCTTCAATGGTATACAACACTGAATATAGCACAGTCGAAACTAGCTTACTTTAACTGCTTTAAAGTAATTTTAAGATATGTAATAATGAAATGATTCATATAATATTAGTAGCTTTATGCCTTAAATTCAAAGGATGTTCTTGTCCATCATGATAGAATTGATCCATCTAAAACACATGCAAAAAAATGTAAGCTGTCGTGGAAATAATGAGTAATTTATTCCTTTCTCTGCTTCAGCGCTGAAGGAACTGCACGTCTACATAAAGTTTTGTTATATATACTATATTTGCTCAACTTCTCATTATTACAGGAAATGAGTGGTATTAATAATTATTTTTAAATTGCTAAATAACAGCAGCTTATGATACTTAAGATACCACATGTTCCTTCTGCAAACATTATTTTCTACATTTTCTTTCACATATAGACACATAATATGTAGTATGATTGTAATGCATGTTGTAAGGGGAAGAAAATTACAATAGTTTTCTGATACTGTAAGAAGACATTCTTGTTGGTTTAGTTCAAGGCATAATATAATGAAAATGTGTGCCATTTTAACGAGCATTTGTTGTTAATGTAAGAAACCATGCTAATATTGTTATTGTTCCTAGAGCAATATTACAGGAATATAAGATAAAACAACTATTGCTGTCTCACAAGATTCCAGTTAAAGCACATTATTGCTGAATAATACCGAAAAATCTTAAAAACAGCTGTAGACGTTGCAATTTTATTTGGTCATTGGTGTATTTCCAGTGTGCTTGATGCTGAATGAAAGCTCACAGAAAGTTTTTCCACGTTTTGTGAGTGGTATCATTACCACTCTGTGTTTTGTTACTGACTGTGCCTACTGTATGCCACATCCACACTTTAAGTGGGAAAGTTTCTAATAAAATGTTTCATCTTTCTAAAAGCTCAGTCTTTAGTGGCCTTCATCTGAAATCTAATCAGCTCGGTTTGAGGTTGGCGTGGTGGGTGTATGGCATCGTTGGATGTGCCAGAACACGTCGTTCCAGGCACACAGACCACATCCCAGATGTGGTTTTAGCTCATTCTCATGGAGAGAGAAGGGACTGAGTACTGCATGTTAGTGTCATTTGTAAAAATCAAAATTTTTGATAAAGGTGGAGTTCAGAAATAAGCTGTGTCCTTTTTACTCGAGTAAATCATTTTGCGTCTTTCTTAAGCTGAGCATACGATTATTTCAGCTCCTGCTCAAACTGTAAGATTGACTCGCAGGGGTTAGAAGGTCACAATATCTTCTCTCGCTCTCTCTCCCTCTCTCACTCACACACGCACACGCACGCACACACACGCACACACATGCCACCACCATCAACTTTGTTAAATTGCTAATGAAAAACATAATTGAGCACCAATGTCCATCCAACTCTTTTCACGGTTGTTGTGGTCGTGATAATTTTGTGAGGCCACATCGAAGAGGCTCGGATGAGTCAAAGTTCTACAAGTTGTGCCTCCGTCGCTTGTGTCCAGATCACACGCTGCACTGCTGCTCCGTCTTTTCACTTCCATTTCTGTGTTTGTGCGTGCGCAGTGTGAGAGGCTGCGGTGACACCCTCACGAGGGGCGACAGGATTTCAAACAGGTTTGATTTTCTTACGACCAAAGGATTGATGATTTCCATGGTCGTGAGGTGTTAATCGCTTCTCGTTACCCCACGTATACTACACGATGCACGACGCACGATGATTAAGGCGAAACTTGGGCCGATCCCTAAAACGGTCACACGACTGAAAAATCGGCTCAAAATGACCCCAAAATCGCACCGTGTATGCCCAGCTTTAGGCATGATGAGGCTTTTGTAACCACTTTGCAGTTATTCTTGAGGCTCTTTGGTAGTTGTTTGTTTATAATCGAGGGAGTTTTGTGTAGTCATTTTGTTTGAGGTCGTCATGTCTCTGTCGTTATTTTGTTCTTTTTCAGGCTACTTTTTCAGGCTATTCTCTCTCTTTATAGTCACGTTATTAACCTAATAAGAACATTTTGTCTCATTGCTGCTATTTCTCTTTGAGGCCGTCATGTCTCTATCTAGGACCTGTTTCCTGTTTCTCTTTGACATGGCTTTCTGTCCTTTTGGTCATGTTGTGTGTCATTGTGGGCGGTTTAATAGTTTTGTTATCTGTGTCTGGCTGACCAGCTTCACTTCATCACAGTCACAGTAGCGGAGCGGGGGTGGCTTACTGGGCTTAAGCCCGGGTTGTTTTTTCAGAAGCCCGGGGTCTTTTGGAGTGTAATTTTTTCATAGTTAGATGCCTGGCTGACAACTGTATAAAACAAAAACTACACACAATATTCGAAGCACATAGCGCACACTGTGGGAATTTATGACTGTGCGTAAATCCCCCCTAATATTGGTATGATCCGAGCTCAGACACTAAGCGAGGGGGCGGGGGCAGCTGCTGCCTACGAGTGCGCTGTTAGAGAAACGCAGGGAGGCAGACAGAGGAGAACTGAAGTTCTACCAGGTACCAAAGCAAATCATCCGTACTGTACAAATAATGTAAATATGACGGTGAATCACGAAAGCTTGATATCAGACTGATCACTTGACCAATTTTACGTTACTTTCTCTTCGAGTGAATCAACAAATGGCGAAATGAAAAGCCGAACAAATGCTATTTTTTTTAGAGAGTCTTAGCTTACATGTGTTTATTTCATATTTTCAGCTGTTACCCTCCACGGCTAAATAAATCTGTTTCAGTAATGCACTGATATACAAGAATGGACATAAGGAGCTTCTTTCAAAGAAAAAACTCAGGTAGATGTTATTTTATATATTATGCTTTGTATGTTGTTCAGTATGCAAAACAAGAGGAACTTCAATACACAGCAGTATATTCACAGCT